CGTTTTCAGTTCCTTTGAGTTCCGAATCAGCATTTTTTTCGCGCTTTTTTCAGTTCCCTTCAGGTCCGCAAAAAGTTGAACATGGGCAACTGAAAGGAACTCAACTCAACTCATGTCGACAAATATGCGCGACTTTCAGTTGCGGTCAGTTCCGTCAAAGATACTAGAAATACAAGATAGAATTCTCGCATTGTAAAAATGAGGCGGAAGTCGTGCCCAACGTAGGCGGCGCCCTTCTTTTTAATCATGCAAGTTTTCTATACTTCGTGCCCAACGTACAGGGCGCCCTTCTGTTGCTAAGCATATCCAGACGCAAAAGGCGCCCTTCCTTTTCCACTAATGGAGGAAATCTTTTTCACTAAGAGTGCGTCCGGCCATACGATTCTGCGCTGTATTGTTGTTTTATTCTTTACTGATTCATGATTATGCTTTAATTGTTTTGTGTTTTATTTGGATAATAGCAACGATTTCTACCGCCACCAAGGAGGTTATGTATTCACTGATGTCACTGTCTGGGTGTCTATTCTAGTTTGTTTTTATATCTAGTAAATAATAATTGAGAATTGATAATAAAATACGCGACGACTTGGTAACGAAAGTTTGGCACAAGTTTTTTTAGATCCAGCTGTAGGGGGCGTCCCATTGTTTGTATTCCCACCATGCATTTCGGTGGAACACTTTTTTGTGTGAAGAACTCTATCTTGTATTTCTAGTATCTTTGGTTCCGTTCAGTTCCTTTCAGTTGGGCGGAGCGCTCATGTCGACGAGTTGAGTTGAGTTGAGTTGAGTTCCGTGTCGACCTGAGCCTGCCTTTATACTGACTGGAGCATTGGAGTCTTTACCGTGTTCATAGGCTACGTTTAGACCTGTGAGATACGCCAGGCGTATCTAACGCCAGGCGTACGTTAATCCATGGCGTAACTAGCGAGATGTCCAGACTGGGCGATTAATGAACGCTAGCGTAAGTATTCGCTGATTGGTCATTTCGTCACCCGAAGTCAATGCAAGACCCCCACAACTGTTAAAGCCCGGCTTAGAAAAGTTAAACAGGGTGGCGCGCCAGGCCTATGTTACTATAGCAACACAACCCAGCTTGAAATAAGCCACCTAGTTCAGACTGGCAGGTGGATAAACCCGGTGAGTTGAGCCGGGTTTATCCACCTAGTCTGAACCAGGCTTAAGATCCTAATTGACAGGCCCGTAGCGTGACTTAATTTGTGGGAGGTTCGTTTCAGTGGAAAGTGGACCCTTTGGAAACCATTATACAAGGGTACGATGACGTCATATCACATACTATCAAAATAATATATCTACGAATATCAATTTTTCGTTTTTAAATGCGGATCTAAAGTTTTTGGGCGGTTCGTTGTAACCCCCTTAATCCCTCCCACGCTACGGGCCTGCTTGATGAGCAACATGGGTTTCGGGAACGTTTTTCAACAGTCACCCAACTGATTAACTCTGCAGACGATTAAGCAGAAACGCTAAAAAAAGAAAAAAAAAAAGAAAAAAGAAAAAAGAAACCAATGACAGTTGTACAAGAAGATAAAATCACATTACCATTCAATGAGACTCGAGACTGTCAGCTTGATCAGAGAAATCGCTCATGAGCTTTAACATCAGGAAATGCGCTGTTATTACCATTATTCCTATCCTTAAACGTAAACCGAGTACATATCGGTGTTGGCTTTTTGAAGAGGTCTTATCTCTTATGTGACAAAACACGACTACCTAGGAGTTACCATCTCCGAAGATTTGCGATGGAATGACCACATTAACAAAGTCAAACGTACGGATAGTCAAACATTGCGACCATTAAGATCACTCTCTCCGAACACGTCAAGCCAGAGCCTATGAATCACTTTCATATAGAATATGCACCGGAGGTCTGGAATCCCAATACAATGTAGATTTAACCTCTTGAGACCCAACATTAAAATATTCAACAAATCATTGTTTTAAAGGCTGAAATAGGACATTTGTATCCTCATTACAGGCCCGTAGCCAGACTTCCAAGTGGGGTGGGTCTTTTTTTTAGCCAAAGGTGACCTTTTTATACGGGTGCCTCCGCGACCCAATGTGTACCGTAGGCACATGCTCTATGGCATGTGCTGCTTGATACATTGTGTGTAAATGCAGTACATGACTATCAACTCACAGTGGGGATTCCCCTGCTTCAGCCATCATTCAGATCATTTTTGCCTGAGATAGATCCACAGGCCACAGGCTATAGGTCTAGCAGCTCTATGAGAACAATATTTAGCCTGGAAAAGGGTGACCCCAGCCAAGGGGGGGGGGGTTGTCCGACCCCTCCGACCCCCTCTGGCTACGGGCCTGAATTAGAAGTTATGCAATTTTTTTTTTTCTGGCAAGGGGTTTTTGAGATACAGTATGGCAAAAAACAATTAAAAAAATCACAGGAAGTAGCGCCCTCAACAGGGCCAAATAAA